CGTAAGCTATTGGCAATATCCCATTGTTAGCATCCATGGCTACTGTTAATAAGTTTACTCCAAGGTATCGACCTTTCAAATGTGCTCCGTCAACTATAATAACTGGGCGCATGCAAGTAATAAACGAACGAATCTACAAAATAATATACACAAGAAATATAATCATTTAAATGTGAAATGCATGTAACTAACAAAATGAGTCAACAAAATTATATTGATTTACTAACCGTAGCACCAATGGCGATAAACAGCAACTCAAAGCGTCCATCTCTATCTGTTTTGATATGAGTTACCGACCCAGGATTTTTCAGCTTTAAATTGTGACAATAAGCCGGCAGTTGGGCAAACGATGCTTCTGGCGACCCCCTCAACAATTCCAAGGCATAACATTTGGCTCTCCAAGCTTGAGAATATGATATACTAATCTTGAACCGAGCATTCATGTCAGTCATAATTTCATGTCCCCGATATACCCTGCCATTCAAAAACATTAACTCAGCCAGAAAACCACCCAACACCTTTTTGTTTGCCTGTCTATGGTGAGGAAAAACTTGGGTTCTTGAACATGTATGTTTATCAATAAAAGTCCTAACTTGAAACATTTTGCAATCTTTTATTCTCTTTGCAATCATACGCCACGTACAGTTTTTGTCAATCATACACCTTGTTTCGAAACGATCTTTGCTTGATTTGTTAACTTTTAGTTGATAGCCATCTTCCACACATTTCGTATATAAAGCTATCTTCAAGTCTTCCTTTGTATCAAAACAATCATCTTTCTTGATACGAATAACTTTGTGTAACAATCAACTGCTTTCTTTATCAACTCTTCTTCCGGTATCTGAAGTAATTCTGGCATATTCCAGTTATACGCCCGTGGCATTTCTTTTCTTCGGGGACTTTTTCTTCTTCTTTTTCTTCTTCAGGATTATATGAATTACAGAATGGATGTTCAACATGTTCATTCACAGTCGTAACTTCCTCCTCATTATCATCACATTACATTCTTCGGCAACGGCTGTTTCATCATCAAAATTCGGGTATTGACCAATATCAATATCATTACACGCATGGTCTGTTTCTTCTTCTGAAACATCATCAAAATCCGTGTATTGACCAATATCAAAGTCCGGATATTGACCAAGACCAAATTTCGAATACTGACTAGTACTCACAATTTTTTCTGTTGGCTCATCATCGTCTAACTGGTCAATACGAAAACCGGAATTTGGTGCTGAAAGTTGATTGGGATTTGGATTAGAGAAAGGTTGTGGGTTTTGAGAAAAACTTAGTTGATTACTACCCGCTACTGACCCAACAATACTACTTCTAGGTTCAACAACATACAATGTAACATCATCTTGTGAAACACTAATGTAAGCAATGAATCGTTCAACATCTTCATTGTCGGTTAACAAATAAACTTTACCATTTCTCTGATAAGATAGCCTAAATCCACTTAGGGGCTCTAAATTCAATTTATTTGAAACACGTAGCATTAGAGTTTCATAAGTTAACTTTTGTAAAGACAATTTTAGTTGAAGATTCATGGGTAAAGGCATATATTGTAAAACACCATGAACATTATCCCATGACCCTCCAAAACACAAATCTATCCAAACATGATCAACATTAGATGATTTCATGGTTGTAAATTAATTTACTAAACAGACGAGCTGCGAAACTAAAACCTGTTGCCGGATTGGGAAGGATGTCGTTGGATATAGGAACGGATGTCGCCGGAGAGAGTGATAGATGGAGATGGAATGAGTTGCGATTTAGGGATTTAGTTTATGATTTCAGTGTTATATACCCAAAATTTCAGTGTTGTGATTTACAGATTCTCGTTGCGATTTACGGATTATCGTTGCGATTTACAGATTCTCGTTGCGATTTACGGATTATCGTTGCGATTTACGGATACGCGTTGCGATTTACGGATTATCGTTGTGATTTACGGATACGCGTTGCGATTTACGGATACGCATTGCGATTTACGGATACGCGTTGCGATTTACGGATACACGTTGCGGTTTACGGATACGCGTTGCGATTTACGGATACGCGTTGCGATATACGGATACGCATTGCGATTTACCCATACGCGTTGCGATTTACGGATACACGTTGCGATTTACGGATACGCGTTGCGATTTATGTGTTCGCGTTGCGATTTTCATATTCGCGTTGCGATTATGGAAAATCGCAATGCGAATATGTACTATCGCATCGCGATTTTCAAGAATCGCGTTGCGATTTTGGAAACTGATTTGCGATTCTGGGGATCGCGTTGCGATTTTTATTTCGCGTTGCGAATTTGTTGGTCATTTTGGCAAATCCAAAAAAAGTTGGTTAAAATCGTATATTAAAACTTTTTTTTGGTCACTGAGGCGATTTTCTCTTATTTAAATATATTAATATATAAAAAATATTTAATCTTAATTAATATAAATCTTATTAATAAATATTAATCTAAAGTAATGAATGGATCTGAGTGTGATATTTGGTATAAAAAAAAGCCGGATATCAATAGGTGAATTTGATATGAGAGGACGCTGAGGTGGAGTTTGCATAATTAATATTATATGCTTGGCAGAAGAAGCTTAGGTTTTTTTTTTATTTAAAAAAATGATTATGAAGGGCAATTGCTACGCGTTGGACATTGACCAGAGGAGCATAGGCATAGGCTTAGCCATCACTGAACCTATCTTATCTCTTTAGATTTTAAATATTATTACCAGTAAAACTAGACATATAAGATAAGAGCAGGTGTATTTGTTTTTGTGGGGCCATTAGGAAAGGAAATGCATTATTTAAGTGTAAAATGAGCCCAAACCTTTTGAATATTCTAATTTCATCCCAGACTATACATATATGCTAATCATATTCCTTGTTAATAAAATCATTAGGCCAATTTATAATATTATATGTTCGAGAAATTTTTTTTTGGGTTAAACCATACTTGAAACTAATTACATATTCAAATGGATTTAGGGGATGAAATTAGAATATTCAAAAGTTTGGGGACCAATTTAGAAAGAGGGTCATAGTTCAGGGATAAAATTAGAATGTTTAAAAGGTTAATTATTAATTTAGAATGGGTGACATAGTTTAGGGATGAAATTAAAATATATAAAAGTTTAAGGACCAATTTATAATAAATGTTATAATTTGGAGACACACGATGTAATTAACTCTAAAATAAAATTGGATGTGGAAAGTTGAAACCCAACGACCATTACCGAACACATCTTTGTAATGATTTTTTTTTTTTGGGGGGGGGGGGAACAAGGAGGGGATACATGGAATGGTATGCAAATGCAAGCGATGATTTTGAAGTCAAGTTACGGGGCTTGGTAACTTCAACCTCAAGGCATTGAAAGTTGGTACATACAAATGTCAAAGTAACAATATAATTACTGTTTGGGATTGATGAATTGAAATTTGCTTCCAATTGGTAAAGCACCTCATCATCATCATAACCGTTTGGGATGAAGCATTTTGTGTCCCCCACGCTAAACATCAAAGACCAAATCCAAGCCCATGAAACGAGTTCAGAACTTGTTGACAACAGGTTTCTAATATCATCCCAGATTTTGCTTCTTAATTGTCATCGTTTATTCACATTGGCTGCTTCCACAAGAAGACTACATCTACCTTAATTATTCCGTGACACCAATTTCTGGTACAGACATTTGCTCTGTAAAAGCAGCAGAATGACATGCCGAGTAAAAGCACAAACTTTTCGTCCCCCAACGGAATGCCAGCAGCATACGAACAACAAAGATGGATTTCAAAGTAGATGTAGAGCATATAATAGACCTTGCAGCATGTGGATGAAGTTTAACAGAATGCCATTTTTAATATAGCTACCTTGTTCTCACCACTCCCGGATGAGGATCCAGCGGCTGGTCAAGTGTTTGTATAGATGCCACTGGTGGTCAATCCAAGTTTCCTAATCAACTGCTTAATTATGAATCCGACTTTGTGAATGTCAAGATCGGCTAATAATCAGCAGTAATGGGTTCAACTTCGGAACACCCATCCTGATACAGCAATTTTTCGCGAAACAACCAATCCCCTCAAACCCATCATTACGGAGTTTGAACAAATGCTCAAACTACCAACTCCCACATTAATAGTAATGCACTCGTCGAGAGACTATTATCAATCAGCTTGCCAAGGATTGCTTCCGAATTCTGTTTGACGAACGCAAGTAAAGAGGATTGCGGCGTTGGAGATGGCAAAGAAAGCGGTACATTGAACAAATCAAATAAAATTTTACATTTCCAGATGATATCTGAATTACAAGGAAAATCATTTGATGAAGTTAATTACGATCCAAGGGTCATCTGTCAGTTTCCAGTTTATCTAATGCAGCAGCATCTAAAAGGTCAACATCAAGATGCGTTGTTTTCCCATCCTTATGCCCCCTCACCGACTTCTTCATGTATCAACACCCCCCAGGGATCTGGTACTAGGAAGCAATTCTCCCACAGGGCCTACAGCTCGGTTAACGTGCCCCCAAAAGCTGCAACTAAGGAAGCCACTCGTCACCTCTACTCTTTAAGCTAAGTTTCACCGACTCGTTTTGTTTTAAACTCATCATCGCTTGCAAGAGAATAGGTCCATCTCAGTCCTGAAACAAAAAATCTTAATCCAAACTAACACGAGCGGACCCAGAAAAGCAAGATTGATCGTTTCAGTTGAAATGAATTAAACCTGGATTCATTTTGTAAAATCCCTCATTTATCTTCTTTCTACTTCACTAAACTCTGGCCAAATAAAAAAAAAAATCAACCCTTGTTTTTTAAGAGCGATTAAAAGATGAGGAATCTAGCCATTTTCTGCGGAGACTACGGAGAAATCGTGCTTACTTTTCTCATTCACTGCCTCATAAAAAATAACAAAAGCAGAGTCTCAAGTTTTAGTCGGTCCAAAATTTTCAATTGGAACTGAAATTAATAAAGCATATTTACATCCAAGTCCCTCCGCTAATCCATAGTAATAGAAAACACTGCTACACTTACTCGACTTTTCTTCTTTTATATATATTTAAACTAGTTGTAATTGTTTATTATCAGGTTGACTAGAGGATCAGTGGAGTACGACGGGAGCCAGATTCTGCTGCGTTGCAGGTTGAGAGTGACGGTGCTCCCCTTCGTAAGTTACAATCAACATAGAGGGATCATCGGGAGCTCGCTCCACGTGTTTCCTCGCCGGACACCCTCTAATGCTGCTACACTTGTAATATCCTCTGTAAAAAAAGTAGGCACATATTAACAACCGTTTGATCAGCTTGGAGATTCCACCAGTAAAACAGTCGTTACCGTGGATATGGGGAACCTTTGATAGGCTTTTGCCCGTACTTCCTCCATGAATAATCGTCTGCTGGAATATCCGCCATCATTGAACTGATAGCCGCCACCCTTATCACTTTCTTCACCCTATTTTTCCTGAAATCATAAACGATAGAATAAAATAAAAATTTTTGAATTATTCGATCAATTCCAATTTTATAACTTAGAATTGACTTTTTTTAATCAAATTTATAAAATTTAAATCGAATCGAGTTAAATTTTTGAATGTGTTCAAATTTAATTATCAACATTTATAATATTATGATATTATTTAATTTTAATTTAAATAATTTTTTATAATCATATACAATACATATATATATAACAATCCATTTATGTGTGATTTTTGAAATATATATATATAATAATCTATTCATATGTGATTTTTTTAAAAAAAAATGCAATATATGTATATTTCTTTTATATATTATATAAAATTAAAATACTCGATTTAAATTTAAAAATTCATCCAATAATTATTAAAAATTTTAAATTATTCAAATTATATTTCGTTTGATTTGATTCCTTCATTTGCAACTTTACAATCAAACACAAATTAAGATATGCCCGTTGATTTTAACGTAATAATTATTTCGTTAGCTTTTAAAAGTGTCAAGTTACAAGGGTGATGATGAAATGAATTGTATGGTAAGTCGAGTATTGGGATAATAGTGGAAGGGGAAACAATTGATGGTGGCTTAGGAATAATGGTGGAACTGCTCCCCTTTTAAGGACCCTTCACAAGATAAGGAAGATGAATTTCCAGCCACTTGAGATGTGCACCAACAGCAACATCAGTAGAAATATTCCACTCCTGGATCGACCTACTTGCCTAACATTTTTCCCTCTGCTTTTTCCATTTCTAACGACCGCCAATTTGAAAATGTCTAATCTTGGGTCAAAATGAAACCAGAAGAACAAAATCCCAACAACAATTGATCTCCAGAATCAACTAAACATTGCAGGAAACGTATCTGCAGCTGTCCTTCGGACCCCCCATTCTTTTGTTTCTTTTTTGGGTCTAGTAGACGCAAGCTCAGACACTCCATTTTTATGTTTTGAACTCCACACCCAGATTTCCACTGTTTTATGGGTCCTTCCACTTGTAGCTTTATACAGTAACACAGAATCTGTTAAACCTGTTTAATAAACACACTACTTTAGGTGGGCTTGATTTCATCACCGGAAGCTAAACTCACTCCGTTTTTAATATATAGTTTGGAATTGGATGCTTGACTTTATTTATTTAACATATGCACCCATAATTGTAGATGGTGATCCATGGATAAATTTACACAGAATTAAGCAGCTAACCGTTAAGATTGATTCGGCATAATGGTTTATTGTTACCTTTGTCCAGCCTTTTCCCAGTGTTCATAAATGAGACTCAATAGGTTAACATATCCAATCTATTATAGCCGTCTTTGATATCAGCTCAAATAATGGTAACCAAGATAAAAAGGGGAAATATTAAAGGTTTCAGCAAATTTATGCTAATAATGGTAACCAAATTCTTCCATTATGTCATTGTCAACCAAAAATGGTTATGAACCATCTAAAAATTGGTACAATAGCATCCAAGATTTCTGTAAATAATGAAACCCTAGTGTAATGTAACCCCCAACTTCTTCATTTCTTTTGATCATGGGATGATGAAATTATAAAGTAAAAGAAGCGGGAAAAAATATGATTTTAACTAGAAAATGAAACCAATTACTGCAAACTGCCATCTCCTATTTCAGCCCTCATTTCCCCATTCCCTTCCTCATTTACTGAACCCTGCAAGGACACTTCACGTTTCAGGCTGCCATCCCCAGCAACAGAAAAACTTGCCTCAGAATTAGCCATATTGGTGTCTTCTGAATCTTCCATTGCGCAACTGATTGGTACTTGCGAATCTTGCTTGTAGGTTTCTATTTCTTTTGAAATCGATAAATATTGCTGGTTAGCTTCAAACATCTTCGTATTTTCTGCCCCCCTCACAGCATCGGAACTTGGATCTTTACCACACCTGGGAACCTTATCCATGTCAGAAGAACATGGCTGACTACTTGTCCAGTCCATATTATCATTCCCCACATTTTCTCTCACAGATATTGAATTATCCGGATCCCTATCTTCACCGACTATTCTAATAGCTTCTGAATCAATCTGAAAACGTCCGTTGAAGGAAAATTCCTTAGCAAGTGATGATGTTGACTTAGTCACATCACCGTTCTCGCATCCATGAACAGAATCTGTATTCATTCTAGCAGATGACCCAACTTCAAGTCTACAAATATTTGAATGCAAACTACCGTTAATTGATGGGGACGCACGGACACTAGGAGAACTAATGGACTCTTTTTCAGGTACACATTCAGTTTGTTCCTTTGAGCATTGCTCTGCTTCCACTTTCATTCCCGAGGTTCTAAGACACGACGGTCGTGGAGACACCCTGCACAAGAATAGGAAAATAGGATGTCTCTCATGTCACTAATATAAAATACTTAACACGACCAAAAGACCAACTAAAATATTCATATGTATCTTTTACTTGGTCCCATCTAGGGACCTTTTACCATTCATTATACTATAATATATTCATGACAAAACAAAGGGTCAGTCCTCGTACATCTTTGGTGACAGTTACTGACGTGAAGGATGTAAAGATGTTAAAATCTACTAATAAATGGAATTTGCTCTAACAGGTTAATTCACATCAAATCTCGGACATTTATGAGGCAGAACCTATACACATTATATGACTTACTTGATAGCAAACTAGTAATTTCTTATAATTTGAACGGCTGAAAAGTAATAAAAGCTTTAAACAGGTGAGAGAGAGAATTGGCTTTTAACTGCCGGTATTTGGAGAGATCGTGAGGGAGAAAAAAGGTACCTGCTATACAAAAGCATATATGCTCCCTCAGAGAGTACCTGTTCCAGTTCGACCCTCGAAACCTGGAAAAAGAGGCAAAACAAGTTGGGCTAAAAAAGTGAAATTCAAATGCAATAGACATGACATACAAAATTATCTCTACCCCATGTTTTAATGATGATCAACATCTGGGGTTGAAATGGAGGCCTTGGAATCGCAGAGAGATTATTTTAATTGCCACAACACATAATATAAGGGAAATGAGAATGACACACACACACACACAGAGAGAGAGAGAGAGAGAGAGAGAGAGATTACCTTACAGTCATCAATTCTATACCAGTTTCCAGTGAAATCTTTGGTATAACAGATATAATGACCAAAAAATGATGCATTCAACATGTCCACATGGACAACTACTGCATAAAGTTTGTAAAGATTGGTATCATCTCCATCTTCACTCATGTAAGGGGGTAAGATCTAATGTCTCAGGAAAGTTAACTCTTTTGTTGAGTTTTCCAAACTGGCCACTCTGCAAAAATTTTCAATAGAAATTCCAGACATCAATAAAGTTACAGAGCTTCAATTAACTAATTTACTCGTAAAAGGAAAAGAGACCAAGCATCAACTGCCAAGTCAAACGAATTACACAGGCATCGAGGATGTGGGGTAAGACCTGAAATCTTTTCAAGGCAATTGTAAGAATGTTAGGAGCCCATCGTATGGTAAGGCGCTTCCATGCCTTAACATAGTCATTGCAGCTGAAATGAGAATCAAAATACAATAGTTAACACTAGATTCCAAAATGAGAATAACAATACAGTTAGGCATCAAAGAACAAAATATACACACACAAATGGCTAAAGTTCCCGACTGTATAGTTTAAAACCATGCAAAGTAAACTATTAACATCTTGAGATCAAATGGAGAAGCAACTGTACCCATCACATTTGTACATATTTTCTCCATGAAGCCACTCCTTAGCAGTGAACTGGTCAAGGCATTCCTCCAATGACGAAGCATCTCCATGGATTTCAACAGTTAAATCCATCATATTTTCATACTGATTTGAAATCTTATTGCAATTAGTACAAATCACCTACAGGTTTTAACGCAATGATAAGTATTACACATTAGAGTATAAACTCAAGCATTTTAAAACACCAAGCAAAGTGATTTATATAAAAACATTACAGCCTAATCAACTGACATCACTTTTAATTGATCAGAGATTTGACTTCCAAGAAAATGCTCACTTAGTTAAGGAGAAATACTCTTAATTTTACTATAACCTGGGTAGTCCATTTTGGGAGGAAACTAAACTAAGAAGAAAACTGAAGAACACAAAAAATTCAGAACATTTCTTCACTAATAGGATCCACAGACACTGTATTTTATCAATGGTGAATAGCCAAAGTTAAATTAGAAAACAGAAAAGAAAAGTTGAAATGAGATGCATCACCTGAGACTGTAGATGACCGCCAAATATATGCTGAATAAGGGTTGTCTCTTGAGAGCTGCGCTCAACAGCTTTCTCTCCACCGAATTCGTCAAGGCAAATTGATTGCATCGTGTCAATAGCAAACCTGAAAAATGAATGGTAAAAAAAAACTAGAACTCCAGAATTTCCTCGAGTTAATTTCAAGTAGATGTCCAAAGAAAATGCAATCACGTAAAAGTGATACTTACCTCATGAATTCATGTGCATCCTCCTGTCTTCCATAACCAAGATTACCTCCAATATTAGGCAGCCGTGACAGAATATTAACTGGTGAAAATGGATGCGAACTTTGAATTGATCTTTCGACGTGAGTTTGAAATTCACACAGAAAGCACCAATCATTGCGTCTGCCTGGAAAACAGAAAAAACAAAAATAAAGTCAGATATAGTTCAAGAACCTAGAGGTGAGAACCTACTAGATCTAGTTTCTCCGTTCACATTCTTTTCGGTGGCCTTTCTCCAACAAGTAAGCAACAAGTGGTCGAGTGGATACAAGGCACTGCAGAACCACATTGGCAAAGCAACTGCAGAAACAAACAGTAAAAGGTAAATCAAATAGAGGAAGGAACAGAAACTTATCTTGTTTAATCATATGTAAAAAAGGTTCAACTAAAAGAACCTATAAGCATGGCAAACATGAACCTGTTTCCACAATTTAAGAGTCCACATGGAGGAAATCCTGGTTTCTCCCAGTTGAAAATCTTTACAAACTCATCATAAGGGAAAAGAACCTGGAAATTT